GGGGGGGGGGGGAGGGTTGAGATATTGCAGAGACATCTGGTGGCTTGTTATCAACAGCACTTCCGTGAGGCGTGCTTCGTGGCAGCGGAATCGGGGATCGACTCGTTCGGGGATTCCACCCGTGTGGAGAACCTCAATGTAATACGCGCGTCTCGTTGAGTCCGCTGGTTGGCCGTGGAGGAATTATTCATGTGCGCCCGCTGGGTGGAGGATCGACAGCGACATCTATGTTGCGACCCTGTCAATGAATGGGATTCGAGAGGAGTGGAAGGCTCTAGTTGCACTATTTACTCTAGTGCAGCGGTTCCCGAACTGTGGGTCGCGTACATTTTCCCGGGATAAAAAATCACTACATCCGCATCCGCTCAGGATAAAACGTGCCCTGGAGTGAAAGGTCGATCCGTTTTCGTCACGTCATGAAATTACTTTCTAGGTGCTTCGTTCTGGATTCCGGTGGGTCGCGAAATTTTCTGCATGTCAGCAAGTGGCTTGCGATTCACAGAAGTCTGGGAACCGCTGCTCTAGTGGTATAAAAAAAAAAGAAAAGAAAATCCGAATACAAAGAAGGATAGCTATGGAACAATGTCTCAGGCATTAGATCGCGTATTCCATTGTATATAGATTGCTCGGCATTCTGCTAAATATGCAGAAAATAAAATAAAATCATGGATCTCGACGGCCATAGCTACCTTCAAATACACGGCCGAACATAGACTTGAAGTACCTGTACGTCGAGTATTTGACATCCAGGGCTCTGAACATCGGAGTGCACGGCCCCCCAACCTGGCGCTCGGCGACGATCCTGCGTCTCGACGACTCCTGCATCCGTCCGTGCGGGCCGCGCGCGACGTCACCCTCGCTGCGCGGCGGCTCCCCAGCGACTGACCGATTGATGCGACGCGGCGCCACGAAGCGGGAGGGAGAGACATCTATCCTCCGGGACGGAAACAACAGCTGGACCTCCTCTGCCGCATCGGATGCTCAGTCGACCCACCACGCGCAATGTTGAAGGTGGTACGAATTCTTCTGCGGAACGCTGTGAGATGTGTCATGCTCGTCTGCACGGGTCAGAGGTGGATCGTTCCGCCTAAAGTGAGGTGGAATCGGTGCTCGAGCATCTCACAATTCGATTTCATTTGGTAAACGGTCGGGTTATTCTGAGAATAGCCAACTGACAAGAAACGTAGGACTGCTTTAATTTGGTGATGGGGGTGCAACATGGCTCCCATCATCCCCCCCCCCCTCTCCACAGTATTGGGCGGTAACGAAGTAGTAGTCACGAGTAACAGTAACTGATTACTTTTTTCAGTTACTTTTTTGGTAACGAATTACTTTTCAGGGAAGAATAACGGAACTGACATCTAGTTCCTTTTTCATGGGAAAAATATGTGGCGTTACTGAACGCGTTCCTTTTCTCGATGAGTAACAAATTATGCTGAAAACAACCAGCGCTTCACGACTACATGCATCCCAATTGCTGCAAAATTGAGAGGAACTCCGGGGGAAATTTGCTCCGAGAACCCATGGTTTTTCCAGCGTTGGTTTCTCGGCCGTACCTGCAAAAAATAAGGAAGTAAGGAACGGATTCGAGAATTCCATCGATGCGAACTCGCGTGTGAAGTGCCCTCTATGTTTACCGATGGCCATTTCCGTCGCACGAACGAGAAAGATGAGCTCCATCGCATCCTGACTCCATCCAGACAACCTTTTGTCTAACGTTAAATCTTAAAGATAGGCGTCGCTTTGGTTCTGATGGTGCATCTGCGGTGTGCACGTTACGTCTAAAAAGTAACTGCTCGGAATTGCCTTATTATTTTTTTTAAATCGTCGGTCGTTCCGCAGCAGCACCGGCCGACTCATCGATGGCATTATCGTCTATGAGAGGGATTTACGGGGTGGTTATGAAGTTCTGTGGAATGTTTACAGTGCCGTAGTGACCAAAGTAGGTGGAGTTGGATCACAAAACGTGCAGGGTGCACAGATGCTGACACGGGAAGGCCAGTTGCATGATTAAAAGTCGAGATGACGCTATAATCATCCCAAGAGGCTGCACCATCGCTTGGATCGTGCAGGGCCCACGAAGGGCACCTGTCTCGGTCCGATAAGCACGAAGAGCTCGCTCGGATTTCCATCCGATAAGCTGATAATGTTTGACGAGGATAGCCTTTTGCTGGGGGATCATAATTTTCCTGCTCTCTTCGGAATGTGTCCAGGTGGCCTGACTTTATATTGCGTAATGGTGCTGCCACCCAGGATGATAGTGGCGCCACCTCGACTTTTATCATGCAAAATGGCCTTCTCGTATCAGAATCTGTGCATCCTGCGAGTTTGATGATCCAATTCCATCTGCTTTTGTTCTCTACGGCACTGTTAACGCCCCACAGGGCTTTATAACCACCCTGTACATAACAGGGATTAATGCAGTGACAGCATACATCACCTGCACCTAAAATTGCTTTATCAAGAAGTAACGCGTTACGGTAACGCAAATGGCTATTTCTTGGGCACTAGTAACCGTTAAACTCTGCGAACTACTCGTTATGACTATCATATCTGCAAAATGCACTGGTCGTTAGTTACAAAAGCGCATTATTTTTGTCTCGTTTACTTAGGACTTGCTCGGAGACCTACCGGCTTGCAAGCGAGAGACGCCAGGAACTCGTCTGTCTTCTGGAGCAACTGTGAGGGCGGTGTGTGAAGACTGCCTCTCTTCGAGAAGGTCCCGGTGTGACTCGGCTGGCACAGGATCATCGAGGGCTTCACCTCGTCTCTCTGGCTCGGTCCACGGCGGTGCGAGTTCGTGAATGCAAGGTCAAAATATGCATAGGTATATCCCAGAATGTAGTCATGCGACGCGACGAGTCCAGAATCCGAAGGCATTTATTCACAGTAGATGGGAATCACAGGTGCACAGTCGAAAGACAGGAAAGCTTGAAGCTCAACCCTATGGCTAGGGCATGGGGAGGCTCCCCGTTTCATGTTCGCACGGGCTACTCTTGCATTGCCTGAGCTTGTTCTTTCCCTGTTTGCATACACCACCGTTAGTATAGAGCTGAAATCGGAAAACTTCACAACCAGTGAAATGACACCAACAACTTCCTTGACAGAACTTAGTGAAAGAATCGATGCAAAATTTCTGGCATCACCACGCAATAGCCAAGTGATACAAGATACAGCCGTTGAAAAATTAACGTCAAGAACAACCACAATGCTAAACAAAAGATTTTATTTAATACACCAAAGGCATTCCAGGAAACCATGTATGTACAAGTTATAAAAGTATACCCTCGACCACTGAATAAACCCATAAACACCCATAAATACAGGTTAGATCACATTTTTCACAAGCAGCAAGTTTTACATATGTTGTATGAAACGCACATGTTGTATGATTCGCACATTTGCATGTATGTATCCTACATGTTGCACGGATCAGAAAGTGCAAGGATGGTGAAAACTGCACCAAAATGACAATTCCACACTAAATAAAAATTTGATGGAGCTATACAACACTGACTTGAAAAATTAATCAAGTTAAAGAAGATATGAAAATCAAAACTACCTTGAAAGCTCATTCAGAAATGATAAATTTCACTCAATCCTTGAAACATGGCTAGGAATTGAAGCTACTTGACCCAAGCAGGCATTCCTACTGCTTGCTGGTCCATCAAGAATCAGAGTGATACCATGGTTTCCTGTTACAGAGGTTTCAGTATGATTTATGTACAAAGTTCAAACAATTTCCAAGGGACTCATTACAAAACATCCAAACAAGGTAATACAATAAGGCATGTAGCTGTTGAGTTCAGGAATTTCACTCTCCTAATTGATGCTGATGTGGCCCCATGAGGACAACTGCTACTGATGTGCAAAAGGAAAGGTAGCATGAATAAGCTTATTCAGAGTCAAACAGAAACCTTCGCTAACTTTGGGTAAATTCACACAAGTCACAAATTGATAGTGGAATTTGAAGCAACATTTTTCTGATCACTCACCAAGTTCTGGTCCATGCATCACTAATCCATGTGAATATGTGCCTCTGCCACAATGATAAATAGGTGGACAGAGATTCAAGTTCCTTGTATATTGCCTTCTTCAACATTAGTATCACTTGGAAATAGAACTTCTTACCATTTGAAATGGCTTCATGAATAGCTTGGTACATTACACACTGTTGATTCCACTGTCGATTCCACAAACACAAATTCCCGAAACTGATTCCACAATGTCACAATTTCAAGAGTCAAATTTGTCTCATGAATGGATTCTTGCTTCACTTCCCATGGAAAACTGTACAAATTGGAGCATTAAACCTCCTGACGATTCCGCCACAATTTAAGAAAATTTACCACTGCAGAATCCCGAGAGGAAGAAATTTTAACATCACTGCATCTTTTCATCTTCAAACTGATAGTGAAGATCCTTGCAATCCTCGGATGAGATCTTCTCCCAGCCAGTTTCCTTGATGTGATAAACTGCAGGGAAAAAGAAGGAAAATGTAAACTTCCATCATATGAAATATATGCAGCACTTCTCTCAAAATGCTCAATCCCAGACCAGCATTGATCAATTTAGGGCATCAACCCATAGCCAAGCTTCAACAGCTCAGAAATAGGACAATTGGGTTAACTAATCCTCAGCAGAAGGGATTTTTAGGACAATTGCCTTTGTCCTATATGGAAAGTAATCAAGAATTGGCTGAAGTATATTTAGCAATGACAGTCACACAGATACAAGGAAGACAACCACACATTTTCCCATTCCCAAAAGCAACTTCTTCTGAGAGGCAAAATCTCCCTTAGGTTGGAGAATCAACATAGGTGTGTGAGATATTTGAATTTAGAAGTAAAATGCATTTATTGAGAATAAGCCAAAAGATTGACAGAAAAATTCTTGCACTAGTGGTGTCAGTATTTATAATCTATGAAGCACGGCAGAGTACTTACCTGTGATCATACCACCACTGGCAGCATCTCTGAAAGTGGCATGATAGATGGCCCTGCGTGCCAAGGCATAAGCTTCTTCATCGCGCATCTCCCACTTGAATCCAGAGTCAAGGACACCATAGGCAAAGACAGATCCTGAACCAACAGAAAACACTTGCCCGGCTACACGTTGCCCATCATTGTCCACATAGTACAGCCCAAGACCCTGAAAGAAAATCCAAAAGTTGTCATATCCTTTTTCCAAAGTGGAAAGGAGTCATTCTCCAAAACAATCAATATATATTATGATGAAATTGTACACTCTATCAAGGATTTTTATTTTATTTTAAGCTGAGGTAGCCCATGAGCCTTAATGGGGCCCAGGTCTCTTGTAGGCCTACTGAAAATGCAAGGAACAAAAAAAAGGAACAACAAGCCATAGACAGGCAAAAGTTTCTCTTCTGGAGATTCACTACCTACCAATTTGTCCCAGCCAGCAATCATGATACCCATGGATAGACCCATTCCTTTGTAGTTGTACACAATGTTGGCCAAAAGCTTGGAGGCAGCAGCAACAGAAATTCGCTCCCTATTCCTGAGTTCATAGATGCGGCACTGTTTTGACAGCACACGCTCCCAGTAGACACAGTCAGCAGCACCTCCAGCCATGGTGCCAACAAGGTAGTCATTGATTTCTATCAGCTTCTTCACATTTTGGGAGCCTGCAAAGGATTTCAACATTCACAGAATCATGGCATCCCAAACAGTAGTAGCACATGAAAGACAATGCACGACAATCTCAACTCTTACCAATATAGGTGCCACCAGTGGCTCTGGCATCTACTGCTAGGATGACTCCACCTTGGTATTTGAATCCAAGTGTTGTTGTCCCATGATCAAAATGGATCTTGATGGTCCGGCCAGATTCATCTTTATTGAGAGTCTGGAGAACAGGCTGCCCCTGAGCCTGATGAAAATCATGTTGGAAATCATTAAGATGCTTAAAAGAAAGATGTGAACAAGAGAAAAGTCACAAACCACAGAAGGTTACATAGCTGAGCTATAAATGATCATGATTATGACATGGGTGAGCCATGCATTTTATCACCGAATTGAAGAAGTTCATTCAAAAATTGAGAAGAAACTGAATGAATAGACCCAAATTGGCCTTCAGGGGTATCTTGTACCCACCCTACAAAGCCTACTTTGAAAAACACATTTGGTTCCTTTCATCACTTTATCTTAAGTATGTATTTCTCATATATACACTTTATATTGCTTTATATTAAAATAATTTCCTGGCTGTCTACTATAACTTAATACATATTTCAAGGCCCTATAAAACCAGATTTTAAAATAAACATGGCCATATAAAAAATTATCACAGTGTAAATGTATTGCACGCTAAAAGGATTTGACATTTGCTATATGAAGTCCTCTGTAGGGAATATGCCCAAATCATAAAACAAAATCAATATTTTGAAATTCTCCATTCATACATAGAGCCAATAACATGAAAAAGGTTCTGTAGAGATGCTGAACAGTTCCATCTTGCAACAATAATACTTAGCACCCAATCTCAAGCTGCAATAGATCAGGAGAGAGTAATTGACATAAAACAAATGAGATCCTGAATATGGGTTATTCTAGAGTGATATATGTCTAAATATTCATCTTCTTTTCAGGAGGCTCAAGGGCCATAAATTAAGTACAGTCAAACTCAGTTATAACGATGAAAGCGCCAGATCCCAGCGTAGAGCCCATAAGGCACGTTACATTTTACCTCGGTTATAGCAAACTCAGTTATAATGAAGTCCATTGAAGGTCCCACAGACGAAATCGACAACGTTCATGTCCCTAATCCATCATTCTTAACTGAAATTCCCGTCATCTGAAAAATTAGCATTTGCGAGCCATAACTTTATATTTCCTGGATTTGGCATTCCTTGAGAGTCATGTGGGTGTGACTGGAACAATGTTAGGGAGGGATAATCCCCAGTAACTAAGATCATCTTATCTTCAGTTGCCATTTGCATTTCTCATTGACAACATGGCCAATGGAAAACAAAAGAGGCAAGCCTTCACGATCAAAAGGAAAGTGTGCTTGATTAGTTTAATAGAAAGAGATCGAAGTGAAGCTAATGTCGCTCATGAACACGGAGTTCTGTTCATCTGTTTCCACAATATTGGAAAATCGTGGCAGCTTCATCCTTGCTTATGACCACATGTCACAAAACAAGAAACCTCTTAGGTCTGTCAAGATGACATCGACCAAGCCTTGCTGTATGACCAATGTAAACTAAAGTTGTAACATTATATAGCATCAATTTTGAAAACAGGAAAACAGAGTGTCAATAAAGGCAACCTCGGTTATGATGATTTTTACCTGATCCCTTCAATGACGTTATAACCGAGTTCAACTGTATGACTTTCAAGTCATGTTGGATACCTTTTTTTTCTTGCAAGGATAGAGGGATAAACCCTCCACAAAACCCACTCATGGTCACAGGTATTGTAGTATAGATACCACATAATACAGGGGAGGAAGAGCAGGAGAGAGGGAGGGAGAGGGGGGAAGCAAGAGAGGGGAAGGGAGGAAGGGAGAGATTGCAGAAGAGTGTCAAAAGTTGGGCTTCCATCATCATAAAAATTGTTTGTAACTCAGATACAAAACTACCAAACCCCCCAGCCAAGCACCAACTTTTCCTGGCTTCCACATCTTGGATCTTCTAAACTATTAGGGTGCTTTCAACAAGGAAAGCACCTTAGTAATTAGGAAATCCAGAACTACTCTTTGGTGTATTCAAAATTGAAATAAAACAAATACTTGATGTGGTCTTTGGAGATCCTAGCTACAAAAAGAGATATTTTTCCTGACTGAGGCTGAGATTGGGTGTTATGTTCAGCAGGGCTAACAGGCTGCAAGTGATAATTTCATTTTAGACAGAGTAAACACCCCAGTTTTTGGCCATGCTGATACAACTCTCATTGGAAGTGGTCACCCCATGTGCACACCGGGAAACACTAGTAATAGGTCCCAGTATGGGAAGATGTTGATAGATGCTTGAAAATGGCCAATTATGCTAGATTTAAGCCTCAATGGCCAACAACTGGAGACCGGCCAGAAACCAGGGTGCTTACCCTATAGCATCTTTAATCAAAGAACACTAGCTTCAACTTCATCTACTGACACTATAGAGCAGTTGTCGTCATAGTACAGTCAGGTCATGGGCCACAGAGTAATAACTAAGAGGTAGTGCTGAGAGGTGCAGATACGGGGTGTTTAAGTGCTCTCAGAGGTTTTCAAATAAAAATTTTTTGCATTTGTTTATTTGAACTGAAATATGTGTGCAACACACACACTTTAATAATAGAATCAGATACAATATTGATGTACGTAAAACTTGATGCTACCACAATGTGCAATTTCTCACATTTCTAAACTGTAATACATGCAATTTTTGGTCATTTGAGACCAACATCTCAGCATGTTGGTTTCTCAGTGCGATTTCTGTGCCTCTCCACAGAGGCACAATTATTCTGTGCCTCTGCTAATAATTTAACATGTTGGCGATAATGCGTCCTGATGCCAGGATGCAGATTTTTTTTCAATGAATACCCTCTGGAACTGTTGAGAACATTCCAGAAGATTATGATTTCTTAATTACTGATAAAAATTCAAAAAAATTCAACATTTAAAAAAAACTCGGAAAAAAAAAATGTTTTCTGGGACCATGCGTCCTGATGGCAGGACACATTTTTTGACAAAAAAAATGCACGTGGTCCCACGCGGTGGACAAGCAAAAATAGGCTGGTCGTCAACGTGTTAATGCCATGATAACTAGCTCAAACTGGAGCCAGGTTTTCCTGTACTCTTCTTGAAAATATTCCACTGAGCAAACAAGGCCTTTTTTACAGTCTCTGTCGTGACAGCCCTGATTTGGCCTTTCAGAGAGTCATACTTGCCTTTATGATGTGCTACTGCTATATTCCTTGAACACTGACATGCTCTCCTTAAAGACAAGACAAAATGCCTTATCTTTGCATTACTCCAACAGGTAATCGTGTGTTGCGAAAAACCCCACACTCAAAACCAATTTTTTTTCTTTTTATACTGATTTTGAAAGTGACATGGTGGAAGGGCAGGTTCACAATAAAACAGAAATTGAAAATGTCCACCAACACACCAGCCTCTGAAAGCCAAGAAAAGTGTAGCATGACTAACATGTCCTGCCCTCATTCCATCAACATAAAACAAAGGACAAGTGATGCGGAGGGCACGCATACTGGTGCAACATGACGAAGGATTAGGGTTTCTTGAGGCTGAAGTCTGATCCAAGTCCTCTGTGTTTGCAAACCCACCACCTCACACGCTGGTGATGGTTGTAATGGTTCAATTATCATAGAATCGCAGGTCATCAGCAGGCAATATAAGCAAAGAACACTGAAACTATTTTTTCTCCTTTCCAACAATAAATGAGGCTATGGTGAGGAAGAGATAAATTTGTCTAGGTTTCATTGATTCATTTGAGAAAATTTAGTGCCACCCAACTAAGGTCATGGTGGGCCAGATGAAATCTCTTCGTGGCCACGTCTGGCCCTGGGCCATGGGTTGCCAACCACTGCTATAGAGTGTGAATGTCATTGAAAGCATTATTGTTGGCCTATTTGATTATGCTATTATAAGACATATGCTTCTTACATGTTGCATCATGGGGATGTGGAGTGCAGTCAAATTATCCAGATGCTTTTCATGTTCTCTCCAATCTTGATCTGCTTCTAGATTCCTTCTTCCAGACCCCAAGGGCCATTTATTCATATCACTTTGGCACAGTGCAGCGAGTGCCATTTTGGACACAAAGGTTTCACCCCACACACACACACACAAGTACTTATAATGACATGCTTAAAAAAGTACTTATAAACCTCTTCACAAATATTTGTGAGCAACCTGCCAAAAAAATAAAAAATTTCATATAATTATTACATATTTAGCTTGGGACAATGGGGTCATCCATAGAACCCCTTGGTTCACCCTGGGAAACCAGGATGAGGTTTCAAAAAATATTAATAAATTATAATTCTCTTCTTTTTTCAAGGCATCCAGTCAGGATTTTGGATTTTGTCAGATGCAATGAAGGTTAGTCATGGAAATACATATATTTTAAACAATGCAGCATGATAGATGTTTTTCGTAAAATTACTATTCTCTAACGTTGCACATTATTTTTGCTTGCCCCTCCTTGAAAGCAAAAGCTGGCAACCCAATGGCTTATGACATGGGTGTAATTACTGAAAATTGCAGTATTGCTTAGTAAAATTGACGAGGGGAAATTTCTGTGATGAGAAAAGTAAAGCGTATTATTCTTAACAAGCTGTTAATAAATTATTTAATAAAATAAATTACCATCTCCGTTCCTGAACACATTTTCACAGAATACAACGAGCTTCAGACATAAAGCCGACGATGTCTAACGATAGGTCTACGTTGAACTCGAATGCAATCGCTCGCGTTGAGATGAAGGAGATGATCTAAGTTCTGTCTGGTCACTATAATTTAGGCCTAGGCTAAAGGTAAGCGGTGGAAAAATGTGCTGCACTGACTTGCCGTGACTAGACTAGGGTGTGCACGTGTGTATGGGTCACTGGCATCCGCCATTAGTCGGCAATCTTTATTGTTCCAACGTTCCTATAGAGGTCGTCCCATGTTGAACAGAATCGAGATTGAACTTTCACTTTCTGTAGGCTCTTTTTGACCTCCTAATTGTGCGCTGGCCATTGTGTCCTTATCCAGACTTTCAAATTATTTTTTTGTAAATAAAGGCTTGATACAATATTGGCCAAAGGCCGGACGAAAGGAGAGCAAAAAGCCTAAGAATTCAAAAGCTAATCATGGCAGTACACACCCCTACGTCGTTTAATATGGCGTCCATCAGTGATTTTCTGGTGTTTGAAACTTCGTTTGCGTCAGACAGATTTTTACCTGACGAGAACGATGAAATTCTTGCATGAAGATGCCTATTGATAGAATCTCAGCCTGCTTTTACATGTCCGGAGTCTAATTCAACTGAAAAGCACTGCAGGCTTGGGCCTAAGCTTGTCCTAACCTACTAGGCTCGATTATAATAGTGGTTTCTTGTCGATCAATATGGTTTCGGGCTCATTTTAGGGTAAATTTAGTTTCAGTTTATCCCCAGTTAGCGGGAGCTTGCCAAACTGAAGGTGAACTACTATGTCAGACCAATTAATTTTTTTGTCTCACTGGAACCTCCACGTTCGAAGTCAAGAAACGCTAGCATTTAACTTACACAGAGAATCCGTTGGCCAGTCTTAACTTGGATCTCTTCAGAATTAAAACGGCAAACTTTTGTTTCCTCATCAATTCGTCTAGACCGACATCGCCCAGCGTGTTACTTGTCTTTAATATCTTTTCATCAGACCGAAGTGAATTAACTTTAGGAATGATTTTGAAACTTACAAAGTGAGCCTGAAATTCCTTAGCTGAAGTTATTCCAGTTACACAGTGTATTATATTTCTGTTATTTAAATAAGCACCCATAAAATGAAATTTTTCCTGGTTCATGAGTCATGGAGGAAAGCCAACTAAGTCAAATCACTCTTGCTTGTAATTACAAGGTAGGATGACCTAACATAAGCACACCAGTCAATATCAAAGCAGCTATAGCAGATATAATTTAATTTATCAATAAATAAAACTTACTTTAGAGGTAAGTACAGCAAATAGCAATGTAATGCTATCAAGACTAAATAGTTAACAATGAGCTATACTATTGCTCTGAAATTGTTGGGTTGTGCTTATCATGCCCCACCATCATTTATAGTCTAGATATAGTCTTAAATCTGTTCATGAATGATCTTGCCCTACTCAATTCTGAAAATTGAAAATATGTGCAAACTGTTTTCTTGTCTTGGAATGGTTGCAATGAAATTTTCGCCTGGGCCCATATATATCTCCCTGAACTGATACTTAATTTCAGGGTTAACAAAAGCTTATTGCTTCCTGCTTCAATGTCCTCCGGTCAAGGGATTTTTATTATTCTGTGATTTTTTTTTTACTTCTCCTATGATGCATGGATTACTTGACCAGCAGTAGTAAACCATTCAACAGTAGCCATTTTATCCCATGAATTTAAGCTTGCACTGCATGATACCAGTTCTTGCTTTGCAGCTTGGTTATTCCATTTTATCCCATCTATTATGTATTGCAGTCTGGAGAATAGTATTTATTCAATTCTGGCTTAGTTTCAGTTATTTAGAATGACAGCTGTTTAACACTGACTTAGCTTCAATAACTGAATACAAAGTAAACTAAGATGGTTATCTCATACAGCCTGTTTATTCAGCTAAAGTTCATCTCCAGTTAATAGGATATGAAGTGAAACTGGTGATATACAGAGACTGAAACAAATTGGGAGGCATGAAACCACTCATTCAGTTCAGTTATAGTTTTTATCTCTGGTTTAAGTCCAGTTAACTGGAATCCTCTGAACTGGAGGCAAATTACAATTTCAGACTGTTTTATTAAATTACCATTAACTGAAGATTAACTGAAACTAAATTGAACTGCAACTATAGATGATATGCATCAATACCTAGAATTTTTGAGGAACTCAAACTGACATCATGTGAAGTCAATCTATAGTTAACCTCTAATATTATTTAAGCTTTTCCCTTATGCTTTGTTAAAGAGGAGCTTAGGAGTACAGTTCATTTGTCTCATGTTCATCAAGTTCAAATCCTTATGCCAACCATTTTCCCTTTCCACTTCTGAAAAGTAGGAAAGAAAAGATGGGGAAATAATTTTTTTTTTCCAATTAAACATGACTAGAAAGGGTTACCATTAGCAGACTCAGCTTTTCCTTTCCATTTCAGTGGAGTCTATCTTATGAACTTCATTGAGTATTCAACTTCTGAGAAAAGCTCTATGGCCTTTAAATGTGTTTTTCAATGAATACAAATATGACATGCCATTGGATTTTTTTCTTGGATTTTTTTTAATACTTTTTTTCTCAACATTATTCTTGTTCCTTAAATTTAGCATGATATTCCCCATTTTCATTGAACTGCTGGGTAAAATAAATTTAAAAATGAGAGGGTAGAGGGAGTTACTCATGTTGGCAGTATTGAACAATTAATGTTTTATTCATACATTTATATTACTTCCCATCCTTTTTGAGTCTGAGGCCCAGTCCTCCATGTTGGATAACAGCAGCCCATATGTCATAGCAGCCCAATATAAATTATTTTCCCTGTTAGTCAGTAACCTATTAAATTATCATTTCATACCCCAAATCAATTTGATGTGAGGAATTGAAAAGAAATGCAGACTGATGTGTGCAAAATCTGAAAAGAAAAACTTTTTCTCAAATACTCTGGTCCTATACTACAAACTTTACTGCCTCTCTTTTGGTCTGTGAAAACTAAGTATCATCTCTTATTAATTCATCATTCTCATTCAGTGTTTTGGCCAAGTTTTTTTTTTTATCCTGGGCCTGTCTGGCCCTATTGAGATTTTGGAATATATGAAACATTTGTGCATATAAGTTAACTGAAGGTATTTTTCAGGATAGACATTCATGAGTTTCTAGCTCCTGAGCAGTGCTGAAAGCCCAGTTTTGGTTGATATACAGTAATACTTTTGTAAATATTGAGCTTTCAGCACTCATGGATTAATATATTCTTGCCTGTGTCTGGATCCCACATGATATCTCTTTCATTTCAGTATAGAGTTCTTTTAAAGATTTTCTTCCCATTACAGATGCTTTGATACAACCAGCAAGACAAGAGAGGGAAGAGTGCATCATGTGAGCCCTATATTCTGTGACTTGTAGAGATGGCTACTGCACAGGCTCCTTCCAGCATGGATAACACAACCTGTTTGGAGCTGGCATTGGAAGGAGAAAGGCTCTGTAAAGCTGGGGACTGCAGAGCTGGTGTAGCTTTCTTTGAGGCAGCTATTCAGGCTGGAACTGATGATCTCAAGACATTGAGTGCCATTTACAGTCAACTTGGCAATGCCTATTTTTATCTTGGTGATTATGTGAAGGCCATGCAGTTTCACAAGCATGATCTCACACTTGCAAGGTGAGTTTTTCAAAATTGTAATTCAGCCTTGTCAAAGGTCTAGAGGGGTGGAATCTCTACAGTGTCATGAATCTCCACAATAGGAAGACATGAGCCTAGGTTGAACTTTCCTTTGAAAGCTGAATTTTGAAAATTTCATTGCAGTTTTATTGCTGGAATGGAATTGACAGATGTAAATGAAAAGCCTCGGTAATTAGTGAATGCACCCTGAAGTACTTTCATAGCATCTAATGGACATAATTTTTTCTTGTAAAGAAATCATGGCAAGTAGGAAAGAAGCCAGCTTGATTTGATTATTCACAGTAGGAGCTTTACTATGGGTTGCTGTTAGATGTGTATTTTTGCCTGATAGATTGTATCTATATTACGTACTTGCAGAAAAGCAGTTCTAGGGTGATTGTGATAAATATTGCTATAAAATTTGTTGCCAAATAATTCCCTTAATGTATTATGTAAGATACAAAGATTCCATTGAATGATTCCATTGAGTTAAAAAAAAGAAGACAGCTGCATCTAATGTCTGTATCATTTGCAAGTGGGAGAAAATGTTGCTACCTTTCCTTGTCCTAACTATTTGCTTATTGATTAATGCTCTTTAGAGTACAATACCAGGAGCTGTCTTCTCTTAGACTGCAATGATATGTTATCCCTGCCTTTCTCCTGTTCTTAATCATGATTTTATTGAAAAGAGTTATCCTTTTCATTTCAGTTGCACAATTTAAGAATGTTCAATTTGAAATCTGGTGCACTTTCCTTGTGAAACTTGGAATTCTCTTGTGTCAGTGCACTAGGAATACATTGAAATGATTTCATTGGCTTAGAATGCCTGATTTCTCAAAAGAATGATACTGATGCAATGCAATGCAAGTGGTGCTAAAATAACTGAGAATCCATTTGTTTCCAGAAGAAACATTTTCTTGAACTCATACTCTTTAGATTTTTTTTTGGGAGGGGGAGGGTGGGAATACTGGAAGGGCATCATGTATTAAATTTAAGAAGTTCCCATACCCATACGCACTCCTACCCGATCCCGAGAATTTTCCCGGTCCCATAAAAAAAAGAATGGAAGAAATTACTCATCTCCTTGAGCCCAATCTCAGCCTGGTGAAACAACGGAGACAGGAATAGCGAAGGAGGGTGCTTTCGCTTCCTCCAGGACGGGGAGTAAGCCAGCGAAAGGAGTCGAAATAGAGAACTCGATTTGTAAGAAATCTTATTTTCACGAATGATAATTTTGTTGTCCAAGCGAACCTGCATAATGGCTTAAACTGCCTACTGCCCAAAAAGCTGTAGATAGGATGGCATGAGAGTGGGCTGTTCTGTAGGATGAGCAGCTAGGGTAGTGGAAATAAGGAGAGCATCGGTGTGATCGATAAGACCATTTTGGGCTCACGAAGGAGTAGGGTGTGGTGATGAGAACGGGATGATGTTTTTTTTAGAGCTGTTACCATGACAATTTTGAAAACGTAGATGTATCGACCGTAGCCATCGATGAATCGGGTAGGAAATAATATTTTTGTTCAGGAAAGGCGAGTAAAGCCCGCCGTGCCCAACGTTTCGCGTTGGGAGGGGACCTATGAAAACATGCCACGTCACGAAGGGGTTGCTCGCGTGCATGCCTTGGCCAATGCCGTGACATTGCTCAGAACTTGCCATCTTCACTCCGATTTTACATTGTCTGGAATATAGTTAGCATTTAGCAATTAAGTTTTCACTTGACTCCGGCCTTTCCAGTGCAGGCTGAGCTCTTCCTAATCTGAACCTTCATTTCGTTGCCGATTGGAAACCTGTCGGAATCGAGTGCAAAAAAAACCTGCCAAACTCAACTGAACTGAATTTTTGTTGGCCTTGACTGGTTCGATGCCCTCCGTTATTCTTCCTGTAGACTAAAGAGAAAACGCACTCTGAAGGAAAGTTTCCTTTCATTCGTCGTCATCCATGACTGCAGGTAGCCGTGATGAGGAACTTAGTAATACAAAATAATAATAATAAATACATTTTTTTTGTTGCCAGTTCTCAGTGCCTGCCCGCACAGAGCTGTCTGACCCGTGCACGGGTGTCACGATCGGATCATGTGCGGAGGTTTTAAGAGGGGGTAAAAGGAGAAACGGAAGTTGTCTCGGAGGAAGACGTCAGGCCAGGTGTAGAGCCATTGTCTATTATGCTTGGCGGCTTCGAGCAGCGTGGGGCCGGAAGCCAGATCGGGTGGATAGGGAGAAGAAGGAAAAAGAACAAGGGCCTCTCCAGAGTTGCTTCCGTCGTTTCCTTCCCCTCCTTTCACCTATTCGTCGGTCTCGTATTCTGGTTCTCTTAAGTCCCATCATCACTTACGCATTATTTACGCACCAGCAAATATAGCTTCTGGTTCTTCGCTCTTGAGTCTAATGCGTTGGAATGCCTGATAAAGGCCATTTATGATGACGTTGATGTATCGATGTATCGTGGCAGCCAGAATATTTCTCCTGGGATTAGTAGCAACTTTTATTTGCAATATATCGGTCTCCATTTCCAATCTCGAATACTCCCTTTTAGATTGAAATAGAGTGCGAGAATTATTTTCTTGGCTCAGAGGACTCTGAACAAGATCACTCCCGTGGGACCCAGACGTTCTTCGTAAGAAAGTTGAAAACAGAACAATGATTAAAGTTTTAGTTAATTTGCTTATTTTTTGCAGGATAACTCATTGATTTTTTGTGCAAGGTCTCATCGCTGGAGATGGGATTTTTTCCTATTTTCCTTTGCCATTCCACTTGAATAAAATTGATATTTGTGTGCCCATGGTCATGGACAAATTAGTGATATCTTCTTTATAACATCAACAACACCGATAAGCACCCTCAACGTTGTTATTTTTTAACAATAAGCAATGACATGTGGTTCAAAGAATGGTGGTCATATATAATTTGCTGAAAGAATGGCAACTCTGAATCGGGCAATCAGGAGAAATTTTTAGGTTTATAAGGGACCAAAACTACTCAGTATCAGTAATAGCATAAATTATCTCAGACTGCAGTAGGTACAGGAATCTGTCTTCCATGAAGTATTATGCAGTAGGTTTTTTGTACTTGACCATCAGTGAAGCATATAGTCTCATGTTTTATCAATGGGTGTCAGGTAATAGAAATCTGGAACTTTGGGACAACCCAAAAGTAAAATCTTGGCATTTGAAAGAAATGTTGAAACATTGCCTGAAGTTTCAATAATAATAACATCTTCTCTTCACAGAACAATGGGCGATCGTCTTGGTGAAGCAAAGGCGAGTGGGAACCTTGGGAACACTCTGAAAGTCATGGGGAGGTTTGAAGAAGCCATCATCTGCTGCAAGAGACATCTGGAAATCTCCCGAGAGTTAGGAGACAAGGTACCTTTATCATCACAAAGGATTCTGTGCTCATACAATGCCTTCAAAGGTTTTCCCCTTGATTCTCTCAACCTGTCCAAGTATTGATGTGCAAAATCCAAATCATGGTAACTGGTCTAGGCCTGGTGGATTCACCAATAGTTGAGTTTGTGTTTAAGTACTTAAATGAACTATAGACATTATTTATATAGTCCAGAGATACAATGGTAAAGTCATCAAGGAGAACCCTGGCATTTGTTACTAGTTATCTTGCAGATAATTTAATTTGTGTTATGGTACTTGGAACTTCAGTTCAAGCAAGCCTTGCTTACCTCTGCTTGCAGGTTGGAGAAGGTCGAGCTCTATATAACTTAGGGAATGTGTTTCATGCTCAAGGGAAGCATCTTGGGCGAATGGGACAGCAAGATCCTGGGGACTTCCCTGATGAAGTCAAGGCTTGCCTACAACAAGCTGTGAAATATTATGAGTATGTCATTTTTTAATATAGGTACATTTCAGGATTAATAAGATTGATTGGACAGGTGCAAACCACTGCTGTGAATTGATTTTGAAAATAGACCAGTCATTCAGTATGTAATGGTCATTTACTATGAATTGAAATCATGAATAGAATTTTCACATTGATTTCTCTGGAATGCATTCAAGTTACCTTTGCTATTTTCTTATGTGCCAAAATAACTGGAGAAAAATGAAAAAGAATATGAGTATGTTTAAAGGATACGTAAAAGTCATTGCATATAAGGCTTTGTCATGCTGTCTGCTATCTCGTGAACTCAAAAGAATCTCAAAGAACAGTGTGTTTTGCTTCACTTGGTACATGTCTGGTCGTTTTATAGTTCAACATTCTTGGATACTACCTGCTATGGAGAAGTTGTTCAGAGTATCTCATTTTTCTACAGGGACAATTTGAATCTCATGGTGGAAATAGGAGACAGGGCAGCTCAGGGTAGAGCATGTGGAAACCTTGGTAATACACATTATCTTTTGGGCAATTTCCTTCAAGCAATCAAGTATCATGAAGAGGTATGTTATCATGTTTTTTACTCAGCAGTCTTATTTCTAGCTTGAACTCTGTTGGTAACTTCTCCATAGGTATCAATGGGAGAGGTATGGTAAAAACTTGCCACTGGATTCTGTGCTGAAAATTTTTCCAAAAGGAAACTGAACAACTGCTAATGTAAGCTAGTGATATATATGGCCTGCCCACTTATTGCTGCCTAGCCTGGTTGTGGCAGTTCAAGGAATCTAGGACTAGCTTTCAAGAGAAGTCAATAGGGTATAAGGGGGCTCATTTTTTTTATAAAGGGTTTTGCTAAAATATGAAAGCAGAAGCAACGTGAGACTTCGTTTTCATTCGTGAGGCAGTATATGCCTGACTAATGCTCTGGCATATTCAAGGACAATTGCATAATTGGGACAAGTCGCCATATTATTTCCTGATTGCCATTGTTTCATACCATCTCTCATACATAGAAAACAATTTTTCTTCAACTTTTTTGTGAAACAAGGCATGAGACCCTGAAACCTCAACCCTGTTGAGAACCCTTTGAAGCTTAGAACCCTATAAAAGGTCATTTCAGAATTATGCTAAGGTTGATAGATATGTAGCATTTTCCCTTTTGTTTGTTGCCTGGCAGGAAATGAAAGGATGAAATTAAGCATTTTTGGGTTATTGTTTTATCTGCTACCAGATGATTGAAGTATATAATGCAATGGTTTCTCCATAGGAGATGAGTGGACTCATTTTTTTGACACCCTATGTATTGTAATATCTGTATGTATTACTTGTGTAATTTATTTCTAGCGCTTGAGGATAGCAAAAGAGTTTGGCGATAAATCTGCTGAAAGACGAGCTCACAGCAACTTGGGTAATGCCCATGTCTTTCTCGGCGAATTTGAAGTGGCAGCAGAGAATTACAAGTGAGTCCCTTTGGTTTTAGCCAGTATTTCCTACTCAATATTTATAATGTAAAATTCCTGGAGAAGATAAGCAGGAAATCATGCAATCATCTCTCTGAGGAGAACCAATAGAAAAGGTTCAAAGTTCTCTGGATGCCTACTATGAAACTAGTGCTGAGTATAGAATTTTAAAGCATAGTTTGAATTATTGTCACTGTCTTCGTATTTCTTTTCTTTTCTAGAAAAACATTATCATTGGCTCAAGAACTCGGGGATCGAGCAGTGGAAGCTCAGGCCTGTTATAGCCTGGGTAACACTTACACGCTTCTGCGAGACTATTCTACTGCTATTGAGTATCATCTGAAGCATCTCAAGATTGCAGAAGAATTACTAGATAAAGTTGGAGAAGGTGAGCTCACAATGCTGGTCTGCTTTTTTGACCTTTTTCACTGATGCTCATGAGTGTAGGCACAAAATGAGGTTGCAGGGTATTGGATACCCTGTGTTCTCATCTTTCATCTTTTCTGAACCACCAAAAATAATTCCATCAAGAAGAGGATGTGCCACCTGATGAACATGAGCTTCCTGGGTGGAGACCTTAAAATTAGAGGATGATGGCAGTTGACATTCCAGAACAGTTGGCATTTCCTCACATTCAAAAGCAGTGAGGGTGTGAGGGCTGTCCTGCATTTCTTGGGCATATTTCGTATTGCTACATGTGACCCATGTAGTTTGGTCTTGCCCAGTTTCAGCTGCATGTGTGCATTCTCACAGTTCCACCTCCTTCTCATCATTCAGAGTAAGAGGTCTGGCAATGCGCACAAACATTCTTTTCATGGCATCAGTATCTCTTCCTACTCTGTAATGTTTTCCATGTATACAAGTATTTGCCCAAGTTTGGACTTTCATGATGATATATTCCATAGTGGATAACACACTGATTTCCCCTACACCAAGTGATATGCTTATATGAATCAGGAAAATGAGGGAGGGGAAATACATTCATGCTTGTGAACCTGAGGTTCATTATTGAATTAATAATGCTTACTTACAGGTCGTGCCTGTTGGAGTCTTGGGAATGCCCATGCTGCCACTGGTGATCATGAAAAGGCGCTCAGTTATGCAAAAAGGCATCTTGAAATCTCAAAGGAGGTTAGTTGTGCTGCACATAGCAATGGAAAATTAACTTTATACAAGTTACTCTCCATTTCATGCCTAACTAAATCAAAGAATACAAAAGCCCCCAAAATATATTTGTTGTACATGAAAACTATGGTCTTTAGGTTTCTTTTCATCTGGAACTTAACTGAAACTTCACTGGAAGCCTCTGAAGAAGTTAGAAAAGATTCAACTTTTCCCATCTTTGCTTTGAGTCAATATTTTCCAAGTCTGGCGGATGGCGACCTCATGTCCCACAGCATGGATGTGATGAGGAAATAAGGAATATTACCTCTTCCAGCTTCCTTAAATTCTTCAGGCTTTGAGACTTTTGAGCAGTTTTGTGGTTTGAGGCATATGTTGTTCTATTTGGGTAGTTCTGCACAAAATCTCATGAGATGAAGTCAGGACTGCATGTAGGTAGACATATTGAAAACTATTTCATTTGAGCCTTTCTGAAATTTATCTCATTGCCATGACCTCTGAAGATGTCAAGAAAGCTCCCAGGAGGGAATGTGGCTCCCTTCATACTAATGTATGCTGTGGAACATTTGGTCACCGTGTATGACAAATGGCTCTAAGTGAAAAATGTTTCGAAAATGAAGCTTTTTCACCAGTTTATCAGAAGCTCCCAATGGAGTTGTAGTTTCCATTTTCATGAAGAACATTCAAGTGCTTCATTTCCAGTTGTTTATAAGTACAGGTATGGATTGTCTCTGATTCCTTCAAATGTGAAATAGGAATGTTATATTCAATAGCACTATACCACCAATTGGGTCAATCAATCAGGATAAAATGTCCATCTTGAGTCTTACTGATGAACTTTGGTCTTTTTAAGATTGGAGATGAGACTGGCCAAGCTACAGCTCAAATGAATGTGAATGACCTTCAGAGGGCCCTAGGTCTTCCAGTCACAGAGTGCATAATAGATGGGAATGGAGATGGGGAATTTGGCACACCCACTCGAGACATGAGAAGACCTAGACGACCATCCATGGAAAATATGGACTTGCTAAAGGTAGTCTACTGTGAAAAGAGAGAAAATATCCTAGCTTCATTCCATATTCATATTTGGACAATGGTGTGTTCCAGATGACTCCCGATGTGAAGCTGGGCTTGCGTCAGAATGTGAACAATGAAGACAAAGGCGATGGTCTCATGATGTCACTGGCTGTCTTAGATGATCGCATGATGGACAGATCTGATTTAGAGGATCCCGAGCAAGATGACTTCTTTGAATTGCTCAGTCGTTTCCAGTCCAAGCGTATGGATGATCAACGCTGTGCCCTGAAGCCTCGTTCGGCATCTGTTCCGACAGCTAATGGACTTCAGTCTAGTCATGACTCAGTTGCAGCTGCAGGTATGTGATCAACCTGGCTGTTGGATTGGTATCATGATGTGAAGGTGTCCTATTTTTAATCAGGGATATAGCTTGCCATTTTTTTCTAGCTAAATTCAATGTGAATAATGAAGTTGTATGTGTGCTATGGCTGGCTCTGAGGAATCATCTTATTTTCCCTTGTGTAGGTGATGGTCTTGGGCTGAAGGACGACCTAATGGATCTGATAGCTGGGATTCAGGGAAGGCGATTAGATGAGCAACGTGCTTCTTTGCCTTGTCTCCCCTCATTGCCAGGCTTGAACTCTCACACTGCCACAGGTCAAGACATTTTCAAAAGGCTTTCAGTGGCATCTGCTGCTTCTGTAACAGAGAAAACCTTCCCTGATGATGACTTCTTTGATCAGCTCATGAGGTGTCAGGTGAGATATATCTTTGCCATGTGATGTTTAAGCAAACTTTTTTTCTGTCCCTAGCCAAACTTTTTTAGGGATCCCTTGAAAGATTGCAATTTTCATTACAAACCAATGAACAAAAGTGCATTTTTGTCACTTGGAAGTAAAGTTGCAAACATAAACTGTATTGACAACATACAGGGTGTTCTGTTTGGGTATGGATAAAAGTAAAACTTTGTAAAAACTAAACTATGAGTGTTACCATGCTCATCTTTTGTGTGTATGTCCTTGAGACTTAGAAGTTTGTTATGTGACTCACCCCAGAGCAGAACCATGCATGTGTACAACTCATTGTCGAAGCTTTCCAGATACACTGATACTTTCTGGTGTGATTTACTGGAAAGCTTCAACAACGCTTTCCTTCAAGTCATCAATGTCCATAGGTCATTGAGCATACACAGTGTTCTCCACAAAACCCCAAATGTATTGTTATTAAAGTTACTATCCTCATGTCTCAACACATGACTTGTATCTCTCAACAGGGTACACGCATAGAGGACCAGCGAAGCCATCTTCCTACCAGGGGTCCTACAGTTCCTGATGAAGATTTCTATTCCTTGATAATGCGCTTCCAGTCGGAGAGACTTGATGACCAACGGTCCAATCTGCCAGCTCGCCGAGAGAGGAACGGGCACTTACCAGCCCTGTCGTCTGCACCTCCCCCTCCTTCTGCATCTGCTCCAACCGATCCTCCTCCTGGCGGCGTCTCTCGTCTCCTGAAGTCTGTAAAGAAATGATCAGCCTCTTCTCCCTAGTCATGCAGTGCGAGCATCCTTCATGCGGTAAAATGCACTTTGTCTGTGCCCTCTTGTGATGACATGGACCGCATAATTTGAGCTAACAGTGCGCCTGCAACCAGTGAGAAGTACAAACATCTGTCTCTGACTCCTTTAATGCCTTTATCTCCCTTTCAACATGGACCCCCTGGCAAGATCCCTGTCAAAATGGTGCACCACTCATCTTACACTCAGATGGCATGAATGACCCTCAACATTTCTACTTCATTCTGACTCCCTTGCTGTCAAAGAGTGCTTGCAAGAACATGCCCTCTTTGGAAGAGGATTTGTGAAATCCTGCTGCTTCCCTGGCTGGATCACTGTATGGTCTTTCAAGCATCACTTCTGAAATACTTGTCTTAGAATTTTGCCAAGCTTGTCCAAGACAGTGTCAGTGAGCTTGCAACTGATGTGGTTGTTGATTTTGTTAAACAAAGTGTCCAGTTCAGTATTAGTCTCAAAGAGTCAATCTGTATGCTCAAATGAATCTCAAACTCTGAAGGATGATCCTTGAAAGTGATCAGACAGAGGTTTACTCCATGACAAGGAATCCAAACTGCTTGGAGGATACATATGAGATACATACAAAATACTGTGAAGTGCATCTCGCCAAAATTAATTGACAATGCCAAGTCTAGGAACTAAGGAAGCATCAAAATATGACATTTTTGAAGCATATCGTGGTGTTTGTGGAAATGTCATCCTGATTCTTTTTTTTTTTTGTAAGAAGTTGCTGAAGTTTCAGGTTTCAGATGCTGTTATGTTCACCAATGTCTTTACCTTTCGACTTTATGTGCAAAATCTTGGATGTAATCTATATGAGACTCACTGGAAGATAACTTCAGCTATGTATTTGGTTTAGAAACCATTAGGCATTGGCGTTAGATACTCCTGTCCTGATGAAAAAAGGGTTATGAGACTTTCACAGTGGAGAATTTTCTTTTTTGTGAAGGCAGCATCATTTTATCATTTGAAGCAGATATAGCTTGCCTTTGACTCTGGATGCAGTTTTAGTATATTTTTGAAATCTCATTGTCAGATAGGACATTTTTATTCTTTAGGAAGAATTAGCTTCTTCTTTCACTTTCCATGAAGGTGACTTGCAATCATGCTGTGTGAATCCTCTGAGTGTATCAGCTTCATCAATATTAAGTTGTCTTCCATTATTCTTGAGGTTTGCTGTCTGCAGTTTCATTTGACTTCTCTTGATAGCAGGAACATCTTGGTTACTCTCTCCAGCCTCTTGCCACTTTAATCAGTCCCTATTGCCAAAATTTGTCACTATGTCTGGGGCAAAATAACTCCCCAACCAGTTTGTATGTATGTTTCTGTGTCCATGATTGCAAGGCAACTTCCATGCAGGATTGAGAAATCTCTTTGTTTTGATTGCTGCTCTCTTCCAGGCAGGTCTGTCAAATGAGCCATTGGGGGATAAAGGAGGATGTTATCCAAGTTGACTTGGCAACAGCTTATGTAAGGATTTTTAGAACTTTCTGTGACATGGTGGAAGAATGGCATATGATTAGATCCCCCAAAGAGAGAAAGGCCTTGCAGTAGTCCATGACAGCAGTTTAAATTAGTTTCTCACTTGAAAAATTAAATTCAGTACCCATAACTATCGAACATTCACCACTAGAGGGTTAAACCTTTTACATCATACTGGAATTTAACTTTTGTCAGCATCAAACCTTGCCTGAGTAGATTTGGCAAAGTTGAATTACAGCCCTTGCATTAGCCCAAGTTAACTTTTGCTAGATTCTTTTTATCAAAGTCATAAGGATGTTTCTGTCTCCCCTTTAGCATATAATCCCTGTTAAGTTGAATGAATACATGGAATTTCCTTATTGCCAAGATCAGTAGATGGTATATGAAGCAATCGAAAGAGGAGCCTCAATCAATTGGGGAGAGAGGAGTTCATTCACTTGGAAAGTGCACCAAGGGAATTCAGTTGTGATTTGGAAAGCTGGAATGGGAAGTGATAAGCATGTCATGCTGTCTTGGTACATGTTGAAATCCATTGTCATGAGCTGCCATTGGAGAAGCATGTTCAAAACCATGAGGTCTTGAAACTGCCTCATGCATTACTAGTAAAACCTCTTCATACCCAATGCTATATTCTCCATCTAATTCTCAAGTAGTTAGAAAGGTTCCTTTACTGTGCCGTTTTCTATTTCTTATGTGGTCATGATTTGATTACAGCCATACAGCCCCAAAAAGTTCCCTTTCTTGGTTCCCACCTGAGCTCAATGACTTCCAATATGACTGCAACTATGCTTGTTGCATCTGCCATCCGCAATCAAACTTGGGTTAGGGATGACGACATTGCCAATGGATTGGTTATTCAACTGGTCAGCTTTGCCTGAGTAGAACACTAAGGTTTACCTGCGTGTGGTACCATCCTTGGAAACCTCCCTGACATGTTCTGTCCCTATATTTATACTAAAGGCAATGTCCACAAAACCGCTCAAGGCATGTCTGATCATAAAATCACTGAAAATTAAGGTAATAATTAAGTTCAGAAGTTAACTATGTCGACTCTGACTGCAAATGTCAATGCCAGTGCCATGGAGGCCATCTGCCAAAGTTACCTGCAATTGGTCTAGTTCACTGAGCTTCCATTTCAGCACAATATATACTGGTATTTGCTTTAGGGGATGTCCCATACTCCACTTGATATATTTTTTACATTTTAAATACTGTAATACTGCTGATCATACTGGTTAATCTTGGACTGCTTGATCTATTATATTTTCTTGTTGAAGCACACAGGACTGCATCAATGAAGTAGATCACTGTGTAGGCTCTTCAAATCCCTGATTATTATCTGACAATGTATAATGAGAGCTCCTTGGATTCATGACTGCTGATTCCATGCTTATCCAGCCACCATTTTTATTAATGTTTTACTTGCAAGTTAATGTTACTAGATTTGAAATTGTCTATTTTGCAGCCTAGCAAATTTTTTCACCCATGGCTCACATGCAAAACTTCATTTAGATGGGAGGAAAATAATTGCACTTCTATTTGCATTAATTTGCAATTTCAAATATTCCAAGTCATCACATAATTCAAAGTAACCCCTTATGGTACTAAGCCAATTATAACCTCATGGTTGACTAGGGAAATTGCTGCTACTGCCAGCTGAAAGAAATCTTACTTCCTTTGCCATTGTAGGCTCCATGTTCCTGGAGTGTAGCAATTGAATTGAGCAATATGAGTGGGTTCTGGTGTGTCCTACAAAAATAAGAATGCAGTGGTTGTCCAATGCAGGGTTATTTGTGGGGTGTGAGCTATGCATCTGTTTTCTTAGCACTGGCCTGAATGAACATAATATTTTCGTGATGGTTTTTTTTTTTTTTTCTCAGCAAAATTTATCCTGAATCCCCTCAAAGTTACAAACTAATTAAATTCCTCTTGGGAAAGTGAATTAAATGTCATCAATTCCTCTCTAAAAACTTAGAGAATTGAAATGAAAGGAAATGTTTGGTGCCATCTGTTAATTGCTGCCCTTGCAATTCCTTGTCGAGAAAGGTGATGATGAATCTGGAAATGGTTCAGGATTAATGACTGAAACTCTATATCTGCATGAGCTTTAGCTTGCATGTTGTTTATACTCCCTCATTTTCCAATACTTAGAATCCAATATAGAAAAATCTAGCTTCTCTCTTAGCCATGAAGCCTTTCCTCTGTAACAAGTCTTACCCTGAAGCCCATTTGTGCAAAAATTAGATGACTGTGAAGTGATTGAAAGGAAGTAGTCTTCCTCTTCCTTCTACCAGCACATTGCTTAGATTAAGGGGAGCTTTGACTCTCTTGCCCTTTCCCTGCATTAACTTTATTTTCTGTATCTTGTTTTCTTTTTTCTTTTTAAATTCTCTTTCTGGTTGCAGAATGCCCTTAACATTAAAACATTTTTCCCATTGCAACTAATGGAAGTGTTTGTCAATGTGTGATTTCTATGAGAACAAAACATTTGTATTGTGAGTCATACTGCTGATTGCATCTCTTGTGCATCGATGACACAATGGGGGTTCCAAACTCTCTTCTCATGTGATTGGAATGATTATAGATCATTTCATAGATCATTCCATTTCATTGAGCTGCCTAAGGCATGGAGGCTTTGGCTCTTTTGTCATGCTTTGCCATTGATTTCACCCACTTCCATATTTTGATGTGGCTGGGAGGGGGTGAAATCAAAGGGAAATGACTGGTTCTTCTCATTGCCCATTTTAGCTCCCATGACATTCTTCACTGCCTGACAGGCAGGAAGTGTGAATGCTGCTTATATTCTTCTATCTTGTCTTTTTTTGCTTTTTGAGTCTCTTGAAGACATAATTTAGACATAGTTGAATATTGTTTGCAGTTCCCCCCCATGACGTTCCACTATCGATCTCAAATCTACAGTCTTTTTTCTCTTGTTGCCTGATCCCTTGCCTCATGTCCTCCACATATTTATGTATTATTTTTTCATCTTGACCTTGATATCCCTCTTTGTGCTCGGCCTGGCATTACCTGTAATTACCTCTCTTCTGAAGAATAAAAGCATCTTGTCACTGAAAAATGTCATTATGTATTTATTGTTTTTTTTTTCACAGATTTTCCCCAAAGCCCATGTAATGGGTTTCTTCCAATCAGAAGAAGGGGCAGTAAACATTGCACTGATTGAATGGGCTGGTACTTGTTAATGTATTTTTGAAACTTTCTCAAATGCAGAAATCCTGAGAATATTTTGCTTTGAATACTGAAATTGTTGAATCAGATTTCATTTGAAATCAAAGGTTTATGCAACTTCTCCCAAGGATAGTTGCTCAATGAACTAGACAGTCAAAACCATTTGGTACAAATTAGTGTATTAATTATGTAGGGTAATGATCTCAATGAAAGCAAACAAGGTTGTCACGCATAAATGACTAAACCATGAATTCCTTATGGTAAAACAGCTTTAAGTGTATCTAGAACAGACATGCACTGAACACTGTTCTCTGAAATCTGTGAAAAGTGACTACTTCTTATATCTTTTGTTCCTCCCTATATCACAAGGGTTGCTATTAAGCTCCAGGAAGTCTTACCTTAGAAAATTGCAAGTCAGTCATATTGATACCTGGTCTGCTTGTACTTTTTCCACAATTGCAAATTCTCTACATTAAACATTGCCTTAATAATTATGGAGCTTAACAACAGGTGTTTAATCAAAAATATACAAATCTTTATTAAGGAAAGGACTAACACTTTTCATGGAGTCCTAAAAGGCCCTATGTGCAAACTCTTAGCCCTTCATACATATGCCATTTAAGGAAGTGGGTGCATGCTTCACACAGCATGCTTGGCATACAGAACAAAATGAAAGCTGGACGATGATGAGAGGAAAAGCTGGGGCCTTGGCTCATTGTGGGTCATTGCAGATCACATGTGATATAAAATGAGAACAGTGGTACAGAAGACACTCCTGTTGATTTCAACTTTCATGCGCAAGTCCACATTTAGACCCTTTCATCCACTTACCAAGATCCCTCAATGCACAGTATTTTATAAATAATTAGAAAAATTAAGGAAATCTGAGAAGACACTTGTAAGAAAGCCAGTCAGCTGGTGTCATTGCTAATCTTGAACTTTTCCTCACATAATGTCTATATAGGCTTGATCAAGTGCATTTTTAACACATTGATGACCAGCCTACTTTTGCTTGTCCGCCACGTGGGACCACGCGCATTTTTTTTGTAAAAAAATGCGTCCTGCCATCAGGACGCATGGTCCCAGAAAACATTTTTTTGCCGAGTTTTTTTTTAATGTTGAATTTTTTGGAATTTTTATCAGTAATTATGAAATCATAATCTTCTGGAACGTTCTCAACAGTTCCAGAGGGTATTCATTGAAAAAAAATCTGCATCCTGGCATCAGGACGCATTGTCGCCAACGTGTTAAATTAAAATCACCATTCTATGAGGCTTGCTATTAAAGTGATGGGAATACTCACCTCAGATAACTGTAAACAACAGAGTCAAAAGTGCTGTTCACCTCAATGTTCATAACTTTGGAATACTTGGTTGGATTGAGGCACAGTTTATACCAATAAGAAGGCAAAGGTAGCTCAGGCACTCATTTTCTTTCTGCCATTCACTTTCAGGAGATTAAGTTCATCAATGACATCTTAGTTCCTTCAGAATATGATTGCTTTCAACATGCCATAACCTTGAATTCATTAGGTGTAGAATATGTCATGTTCCAAGATTGCACAAGTAAATTTTGTAAAACAACCAAAATGAGTACAAGGTGCTGAACTCCTCAAACATGGGAGTTCCACCTTTCTGTGCCACTCTGTGTCCCCTACCTTATTTGTCTCTTCCATCTCTATTTGTGAAGTTGTCTACGTTAGTGGTCTGCCATCTTCACCTTGGTCTTCATCTTCCTTCATCTCCTTCTCTTGCATTAGGTATCAGGGAACAGTTATTCAGCTGAATATCCTGATGGAGTGAGAATTTCCTATACTTCCTGATTGTGGGCTTTCCATCAAGGTGAGTCATAGTTCACTTGTTAGACTTTCATGTTTGTCATTTGTTGTGCATTTGCAAAATAGAAGAGCAGAGAGGGAATGAGAGCTCATAGCAAAATGGCACTACCCATTTATTTTTCTTTCTAGCATGTCGGATACTGGGAACTGGTGCCTGATTGAGAGTGACCCAGGAGTATTCACAGAACTCATTCATGAATTTGGTGAGTGTCTCATTTCAGATTGAATTTTACAGCATCCTATTTGACACATTAATCTCAGATTACATGCTATTTAAAGTATTTTAAAATCTAGATTTGATGTAGCTCCATTGGATATTAAAAGATAGGATTGTGTTGTATAGTAACAATCATAGTCCAAAAGAAGCAAAAATTTTCCAAGAATTCCCAACCTAACTCCTCACATTCACAATCTCACAGGAACTTAAAAAATGAGGCACTTGCTTATTGTCACAAGGTCTCTAAGTAAACCAAGTCCCATCTGTAGCTTCATGGCACTTCCAAATATGTGAATTTGTGTCATTGGAGAACTGGTATTTCTTGTTTTTGTTGATCCTATTATTGTTCAGCAACTGGAATTGCAATCCTCCTGAGAGCAAAAGCTTTGAAATTGAATTTATTTGTAAGGAATGATGAAGTCATCTTGAGATGGGAGTCTGCCTATTAAGTTCTTATAACTTCACCTTCAAGAGCTTGAGTAAATGTGAATATGAGATCTTGTAACTGTCTTGGATGGTCTCCTCTTCTAGATGACAATACTTTCTGACATGGTACAATAGCTACTACTGGAAATATAAACTCTTTGGTGCAAGAAAGAGTAAGAGTGAGTCAGGATCCCATCCTGAAAAGCTTAGAACCTCCCTAGAGAAAGAAGAAAGACATCCTGGCATAAAAATCTATAATAAAAATATATATGTTTTCAATAACATACTGGACCATAAATGCTGGATAATGCTGTCATTTGGAAAGTATTACAGAAACTTGCTATGCAGCAACGTAATGATTTGCAGGAATTTTCTTGATGAAATTTACAAGAACATCAGCCTCATTTGCATATGACAACTTGCAAACCTGCCATGAATCACAAAGTTAAATATGACTTTTTTCAGGAGGCTGCCCAGATGCCACAGCTGTTTTTCAGGGATCATCAAATCTGGTCACATTGTGATAAGTCAAGCTATCAGTTTTGTCATAGAAGTCTCTACTCCAGCAAAACTACATTGATTATTCAACAGCACCATCATAGTACTAACAATAGAAGGGTGATAGTGTAGACAGGGTATATGCATTGCTGTTTATTGTGGCTCTCAGTGCCATCCCTCCAGCTCCGTGGTTTACTCGTGGTTTCCCTTGTCCATTCATCCATGGATGCAGTTTGGGTTTACCTTTTGCTGAGTGATCCAAAAGAAGTTACAAGTATCAATCTGTCCATAATCAAATGTTGTGGAAATAGCTCTGGAGAGAGCAAAGCATAGGTATATAGGTTAAAAGTGATCTGAAGTTTTTTTTTCTGTGTCCTGTATAAGCACGCAGAGAAGTGCTGTAGAGTGCTTATCTCAGTGATGACCTCTCTTCCTTGCAGTGCAGGAAAGGACATCACTCTCTTTCTTTCTCTTTCTCTCTTTCTCACTACCATTATTTCCCAATGGATTCACTGGAATTTTTTTGGATGGAGCCCCAACTGCCTATGCTTTTTGCTCTCCCATGGAATTGAAGCATTCAAATGCACTGAATTGAGAAATCATTTTCTTCTACCAGGTTGTCGTGGAGTGCAGGTGGAAGAATTATGGAGTTTGGACAAAGAAAGCTTTGAACAGTTGAAGTAAGAAACACTGACCTCTCTATCCTCAGGGGATCCTAGTATTCTGGCTAATTGTATTGGTCTTGTGTTCCAAAGGCCTGTCCATGGCTTGATTTTCCTCTTCAAATGGCAGCCAATGGAGGAGCAACCTTTTTCCATTGTCCAAGACAGCCGGCTTGATAAGATCTTCTTTGCCAAGCAAGTTAGTATTGCTCTGTTTTTTCCTTTTCTAGTGACTCTTCTAGTTCTGATTGAATTTTTTTAGGACTAATGATGAGTGAAAATTTCTATGCCAGTCTATTTGATGGGTTTATTGCACTTTAGCATGAAAAGTATACACCCCAGCTTTGTGGAACATTGGAAATAGTATCACAGCATAGCAGGAGAACACATGCAACATAGGGGGACATTGAGGATTTGATGTCACTTTCATGCACAGTAGATGCAACTATTGGATGGGTCATGTTGCTGTGGAGCACTGTTGATCAGTGGTGTGTAAAGATGCTGATATGTAAGCAGCTAATATGCTTACATTGCTAATGTTAATTAGCAATGTAATTATGCAATGTTAATACATAGATTCAATGAAATGATAACAAGTGTAGTGCTTCATGCCTTGCACTGCCTTTTAAATCTCTATCCACTACACCTGCTGTGCATGCAAATGATATCACATCAGCCATGCCTCCCATGATGCTTTTTTTTTTTCTTCTATGTGGTGATGCTATTTCCTAAATTTCTCTAAATTTCAGAGCATGGTTTCATGCTCGAATGTCATCAGGCTACATAATCATTTCCCTGTACCCCATGCAACTTGGGCAGGTGGTACAATGTTGCACGATTGTTGCATTGTCATGTGTTACTTGGGACTTCATTTTACTATTGGAAATGAATGATGTAGTTTTTAGTAGTTTTTTAAATTAGTTATAATCATGCTACTCCCAACATGTTTCTTGTGTGGTTAACAAAATGGAATCATGATCCTTTTTCATGGATGTAAGATAAGTCTTGCATGAAATTACTTATGATGGCCTTGAAATTTGTCATGTTATTCACAACTTTTACTACTGTTCAATTTGCCATACCCTGTTCCTCAGAAAAATGACCCAGAATTTCTAGAATGCTATTATATGATTGAACCTCAGTAAGAAGTTTACAACAATGGGCTTATGTATTGACTGATTATGTACTCCTTCAAACCTTCACAACTCATTCTTTTATTCTTCAACCATGATGAAATTTTATGTGCCAAGGCTGCTCCAGAATGAATATGCCTTTGTGATTTGGGAATTTCAAAAGTTTCCATGAAAAGGAAATAAATAAAGATGAGAGCTTGGCTTTTTTTTTTTAGACATACATAGAGCTGATTAGTTTTCTTATTCACTTTTTGCAGACTTTGTTCTGTATGCCCTTTACTTGATTTCTTTGCTTTTAGGTGATCATGAATGCCTGTGCCACTCAAGCCATCATCAGTATTTTGCTCAATCGCAAGCATGAAGACTTGGAGCTTGGAACTACATTGAGTGAATTCAAAGATTTCTGCTCTGCTTTTGATCCTTCTATGAAGGGGCTTGCTCTCTCCAATTGCGAAGTCATTCGACAGGTTCACAACTCCTTTGCAAGGTAGAGCAGTTTGTTCCCATTGTCCCGAGATATTTGCAAAGTAGCAACTCACTGCTGTTGTCTCTGAAGGAGCTGTTGGGCAAATACTGTACTATATTTATTTTCCTTGTATGGCCTTCTTTGCTCACCTGAGATGCATTGCACATAGTTGATGGGGCTTTGTGCCAATTTATGGCATTGATGTAAATTCTTAGAAGTTGTTCTGAATTTCCTGTCATAGGTGCTTGGAATAAATTTAGTTGCATCAAGATCCCTTTGTAAATCAACTCTTAATTGAGACATATCTACATATCTTGTGCAGCGAAGTTTCAGTGACATAAATAACTTTTTTCCAGGCAGATTCCATTGTAGGTGGTGTGGGATGTGGAAGCCTGTTAGATTGCTCTGTTAGATTTTTAAACCTAATCCAAGGACTTAAGAGCAGTAATACAGTTTCTTTTTAAAGTTCGATCAATGCCAGAACCTCGACACTAGGTACTGAGTATCATCAAATCTGAATGTAATGTGTGAGACCATAGACACAATTGTGGAAGTCAGAACAAATGGAGTTATAGGAAGTTTTGAACACCCCTTGCATTTCTTTACCTTGAGAAGACTCATAGCCATCTTTCCTCAAATTGTTTTGCGCAGTTATTTTGTTCCAAACACAACTGATGGTTTTTTTTTTTTCATTTCTTCAACACCCTTTATATTCTGCTTCATTGAGCACAACCATTGGATGTTAGTATTACCATTTACTTTCTTTTGTGCAAGTAATGTTGGTGAGTGGTCATTGTTTAACGGGGCAGCAAGCACAGCTTTGTTAGCCATTAACATTGGCATTCTCTGCAATATTTTTTTGGAAGCTATTAGCTATTCCAGATGGGTTTGGCATTGCCATAAAAAGCAGATATTCCAGAAGAGCAAACAGAATCTCTAGACCTTAAAATTATGCCACTTGAAGATTGTTCCTCCTGAAATGTTGAGAAAATGTTTTAGTCTTGAGGCAATCAGAATTTGAGGATTTAATTCGTAATTGAAACTGCTTTATATTTCCCACAAAAATTCGAAAATTCAGCTACAAAAAAATCGGCATTTTTTTTGTAGCTTTAAACATCACAATGCATTTTTGAGTCGGTTCTGTGGATTTATGCTTAATTAAATGCATGGACTGTTTGTAGGCAATCCCTGTTCGAGTTCGATCAGAAACCCGAGAACAAGGACGAGGAAGATGCCTATCATTTTGTGGCCTACCTACCGATCGATGGGCGGTTGTACGAATTGGACGGTCTCAAGGAAGGGCCCGTCGACTTGGGTCCGATCCCGCCAGACACCGACTGGGTCGACGCCATGAGGCCGATCCTGGAGACAAAGATTTCGCAGTGAGTGCTTTTCCTGGCATGCTGGGATTTCGTGTGAAGCTGCCAAGTATCCTCCTTTGTTCTGGCCCTCGTCTTCTTGAGAGGAGCATTAATTAGCAGGTGACGATCGTCATAATGCTGAGAACTTTGGCCTTGGTCCCAATCATTGATAAGAGCCTCAATAATTTCATTTGTTGCTCTTGATTGGCAAACGAAACTTTTATCTCGAAGGCTGTAAAATCAGTTTGTTTCTATTGACCAACTCGGATTCTTAGTGTACATCCAAAAACGAGGTGGAGTGTATGGTGCACTTGTTTAGTCACAGAGAATATTTCAGTGTATCAGCCATTTTCTTTTCATATGGTATGTTCAATCAGTGGTGGGTCAAAACTTTCTAGCAACCACAATATTAATCAGCATTTTTTTATAGCGAGATTCCTCGTCAAAAATGCAGTGAAGGTCATTGCGCAATTGCCTGCCTGCCTGCCATTGAGAAAATGATACTAGTGAGTCATCGAGAAGCTTGCATCACGTTCGTGTTATTACTAGGGTAAAGTCACCTAAGTTCGGACACTAACGTTTATTGTTACGCATTCGCGAGATCGACATCAGAGAAAGTTATTCTTAACCCACGATGACCATGTTACTAAGCGAAAGACTTGCGGTGGCCACGATCGTTGAGCACGATTTTGAAATATCGGGGGGAAATGAATGTCATGTCACGAAAAGAAAATTGAAGTACATTCAAGAAAATGTACGGAGACGACCTTACTTGAGAAACGCTTTCCACGCGGTATTGTTAATTCTGTGATCAATTCTTATTCTACGGGAAACTAGAGAACGTAGAGCTCGACTACAAGGGAATAAGCATGGCATGAGCTTATTTCCCGCCTTACTTCTGGTGTGTTCAAACTACGTTGTGTTCGAACTTCCTTTTTTCGCATCTAAGTTCGGACACACACGTAATAGGAATTATTGGAAGCTATAAGGCTTCGATGGTCATTATCTTTATCACACTCATACCTACTCGTATTGTGCTGTCGGACGTAAAAAATAAATAAAATAAAATAAGTATTTGGGTTGTACCATTAAGGCGTGACGAACGAATTGCAATCCTATCCCGGCTTAACTGTCCGAACTTTGGTGGTTTTACCCTACTATATATATTCAAAGTAAATTTTAAATCCAGAAATTCCCACGGAACAGCATGGAGCAAAGTGGACGGTCTCCCCCTTTTGCGCTGACCTTTAACTTGCGCACCACCCCTGAGCGTTATCCATTTTCCTCCCCCCCCCCCTTTCCCCATCCCTCACTTGCACCATTACTCTGCCTGTTTCGACTATGATGGATGATGCGCTCTAAGGAGGCTGACTAATTCGCATGCAGGTACGAGGTAGCCTGGTTTTTCCCAGCATGTCTGCGAATGAGAATGAGGTGGCGTGTTGCGTGAAATATATTATGCCAAAGTGAATAACTTCTTTTAGCATGTCTCATTTAATTAATAAGTGGGGGCCAAATTGATATGCAGTGAGCTTTTACTACAGGCTCCAATAGACGCGAGACCCAGGTAGAAGCATGGAATATTAATCATGCAGGAAAGAAGTATGTGATATTGAATAGGAATGCAGATAGCTTTTTGTCTGTTCGCAATTGAAGGGCTCTCTGGAAAAGCGGGGTTAAATGCAAAAGATACAGTTCCAGACTACAAAATCTGCCCACGTGTGACTGATCGAAAATTAGTTTAATTGAACTGTTTCACCCTTGCTTCATACACAGTTCAACCAATCTGCCCTAATGCATGTAGCTTAAAGCAGTGAATGGACTTAGATAAGGTAGAATTGCTTATGGGCACTCACGCCCCTTTTCCAGAGAGCTCCTCAATTGTTCGTAGTCAGACATTCCTCTACATATGATTGCATGTTCGGCTCTCCCCCTGGCAACACGATAAGGAGTCCAACCACTGGTAACGATTTCCAAGAAAAGTACATGGTGTGGAAGCACACAAGTCATGAGGGTTGATGATGACCTGTCATTCCTTGCAAGACGATAAATTGCCGTCTTTGCGCGCTGGTGAAATCGTTCTTTTGTCTCTTTTCCCAGGTACAAATCAGATGAAATTCATTTCAACCTGATGGCGATAGTATCCGACCGCAAGGCAAAGTACGAGAGGGAGTTGGAGAAGAAGCAGAGGATTGCCGCGGTACGTGCTACTGAGGAACTTGCTGAGGAACGCAGTTGTTCCTCATTAATATGCATCATTAACCTTGAAATGATCATTAATCATAACCATGATAATTATCGCGTAATAAATCAAGTTATTTTTTTATCATTTATTTTACATTCACATATCTTGCAAATTACCATCCGTGCAATCTAAGAATTCCCTTCTCCCCCTGGTGTCCGTTCGTAAAGGAAGGGGGAATGATCTCGTCCGAGGAGGAAGAGGAGATCCGGCACCTGCGAGAGCTGCTGGAGGAGGAGGAGGTGAAGCGGAGGCGCTTCAAGGTGGAGAGCATCCGCCGGAAGCACAACTACATCCCTCTGATCGTGGAGCTGCTGAAGATCCTCGGGGACGAGGGGCTGCTCCTGCCGGTGTACGAGAAGGCGGTGGAGAAGAGCCTGGAGAGGCAGAGGAGGAGGGCGAAGGCGAAGGCCAAGTCGTGATCCGGGACCCCGTAGATCCCAATCAAAGGTTTCCTGTAATAAAGTTGGAATCTCGGTCTCGGTCGTTCTCGTCTCGTTCTTTCGGTCTTGGCGGGGAGGGGGAAGGGGGGGGGGTGCTTGTCGGTGCGGTGATGTTCTGCAGTGAAAAACAAAGGAAAAGTAAAACAAGGAGTTGAGGACTGCTCGAAAACACTGGTTGTCTCTAGGCTTATTCTGTAGAGATGGCGTGTCCCACGACACGCAATCCCCTGGTAAAGAGTCGACGCGGCATGATGTCTGGCTACTTTTGGCCTTACGCATGCAACGATCATTAGGGTGTCGCGTGGATGGTAGATGGAGGTGCCGTCACGGAGAGCCTCGCGTTTCGGTTTCGATTGCTTCTCTACGGTTTCATGAGATTTCCGGGAATATTGCTCAGGCGTGGGAAAATGGGGGGGAGCGAGTGCGGTTTTTTTTTATGGTGTGGCGGATGCGGCTGTCTCCCTGATATCGCCGCGGAGAAAAATGCGAGGCCGACCGCAGATCCCATCGTCGCGGGAACGGGGATACAAAGCTGGGAAAATTTATTTGTAAAAAAAAAAAAAGAATAATAATAAATCTTTGAAGGAAAGACCATGGCTTTCACTTGCTTCCATGGAATTAGAAAAAGAAGGGGATTTTTATCAGTGATGTTGAAATGAAATTGGTGCACTCCCATCATTCCCTGTTCCACGATTGAGATGCCATTCTCTTTCCAAAAAACAGTAAGAAAGCCAATCTTGATGGATAAGGCCATCGTGTTTTTCCGTGGTTCACGCGCAATAGGTCGGGATGAAATGATCCGGAAAAAAAAAGAAGTCTCTTCAAATTTAAGGGAAAAAAATTCCCTTTCCCAGGGCTGTTTTTCTCTGCTTTCGATTCGTTCCGCGTTCCCTCGGAAAAAATTGAGCGGAGAGCCCATGCGGATGCGGATTTCCATGGAGACCGAGACTCGGGCCGCGACGAATCTGTACGGAAGTTCGTCGAAAGGCTCTCACGTCCGAGTGCAACGCCTCGGAGCATCTCGCAAACACTTCCTCGTCGCTCGTCAGGGACGAACGCGCGAGGCGCATACATCTGGGAATTCCAGCCCCTCGAAGGGGAACTCCAGTCCCTCGAGAGGGATCCCCTCCCCCTTCCCCCTTCTTCCTCCCTCCCCTTCTCCCTCCCTCCCCTTCTCCCCTTGTTTGTCCTCCCTCGCGGAGCGGGGGCGTTCAACCTCCTATTTCGGAGGCACTGGGGTGCCGCGCGGTTCCTTTCCTTCCTCCAGCAAAAAAAGATTTATATTTTAGTTTGACCTGAAAACGGAATGCTTGATGACTGGAAAAATAATGACTCAAGGGATTTTTTTTTTTCATTATAAGCGAGGTTCAAATATCGAATTCCTTACATTACGCTAGCGATATAAGAGACGTTATGTCCAGGGGCGGATACAGAAATTTTTCATAGGGGGGGCGGTTCCCAAATTTCTACCTAACCCCCCGCCTACCACCATTCCTCGTCCTTTCGCCTTTTTTATTTTTCGTCTGGGGGAAGAACTTGAAGGAAAAAATCTATTTCATTGGCTCAAATAAAATTTAATGCAGATGCTAATTTGAATAAATAACTCAAATGCTAACCTAGCCATAGGGGGGGGCGGTCGCCCTCCCTGTATCCGCTCCTGGTTATGTCCCACTGATTTCGCATGTCTTGACGGATGCAGCATGCAATTAGCGCATTATCATTGAATTAAACGAAAAATATTTTTTGCTAAGATGATAAAAGTTTTAACCTACTGTTCACCTTCACCGTATCTGCGTCACCGATAATGGTTGGACAACACGGGCGCCGAGGATTCCTGGCTCGTTACGTCAGCACCGCAGCCTGACGTCATCTCTGCCACGATCGGTCGCAGCGCGTCTCTTCCCATCCCCGATCCGGACGCGTCCACGTGTCGCCACGATGAAACCGCGATTCCCCCGAGGTCAATGGCTGGGCGCAAGGAAGCGACGCGGCCTTGGGCAAGGACGCCCAGAATGGAAGGAAAAAGGAGATGGAGGACGGGAGGAAGGAGAGGAGGGGGGAAGAGGTGGAGATGGAGGGGGGAAGAGATGGAGGATGGGGGGAAATGGATGGAATCGGCATGCTTTCTGGGTGAAGGCCGTTTGACGGGGGGAGGGGGAGGGGGAGGAGGATGCTTTTGTCTCATTTGGAGCCCTGCTTGGCTCCCCGAGAATTTCCGTCTCCGTTTCGAGCCACCACCGACCGACGACAACGAAAAAAGCCTGCGTCGCAACGGAAGACGATGGCGGGAGTGGGGCGAGCGAGCTTGGTCGGGGCTAAAGGGGCCCCGGGGAGTCCTGTAATCGAGTCAGTTGGTGTCGTTAATTAGCATAATTAAAAGTGAGCTTTCTCCGTCGAACAAAAAAAAAAAAA